CCCGAGAATTTAACCCTTTGGCACCCCCATAGAGACTGCCAGGGGTCCAGACAACAGACCCTCCGATTTGACACATTGAACTCTATCTGAGAAGTAGTTGGTGAACCAGGCGAGGCAGTCATTTGAGAAACCATGAGAGGGTACCCACCTTACGAGACTGCTGGCAGCAGTCTTGGTCAGCTAACAATTTTGTAGAAACAAGGAAAACCAACATAGCAAAGAACATCAATCAGTAAAGGCTTTTTTATTGAATAAACGTAACATATATCGAGTACAAAGAAATAATTTCTTTCTGCCTCTCCAAACAGTACAAAAATAGGAGACTGATCTTTTTGAATGACTCACACTTCAAACCACACATTTAGTTAAAAAAAGGTAAATACATTTTTTTGAAAGCACAATGGAAGTACACTATTATTGGAGAAAGTATTTTTCACGAAAGATAAATCATATATATATATTTTAAAAAATAAGTTGCAAATCTAACAACATACAAAAAAGACTATTGATTAATCATGTTCTAAAATGCTTGATAAAATAATAAATCTCAAGAAAGCCTTATACAGTGCCTTCAGAAAGTATTCACACCCCTTGACTTTTTCCACATTTTGTCACTAACCTACACACAATACCCCATAATGTCAATGTGGTATCATGTTTTTACAAATTAATTAAAATTGAAAAGCTCAAATTTCTTGAGTCATTAAGTACTCAATCCCTTTGTTATGGCAAGCCTAAATAAGTTCAGGACTAAAAATGTGCTTACAAGTCACATAATAAGTTACATACATCTTTGTACCCCACATTCAACCACAAAGACCAGGGAGGTTTTCGCAAAGAAGGGTACCTATTGGTAGATGAAAAAAACAACAACAAAAAAACAGACATTAAATATCCCTACACTTTGGATGGTGTATCAATACACCCAGTCATTACAAAGATACAGGCATTCTTCCTAACTCAGTTGCTGGAGAGGAAGGAAAACTGAGGATGGATCAACAACATTGTAGTTACTCCACAATACTAACCTAATTGACAGCGTGAAAAGAAGGAAGCCTGTACAGAATAAAAATATTCCAAAACATGCATCCTGTTTGCAACAAGGCACTAAAGTAATCCTGCAAGAAATGTGGCAAAGCAATACATTTTTGTCCTGAATACAAAGTGTTATGTTTGGGGCAAATCCAATACAACACATTACTGAGTACCACTCTCCATATTTTCAAGCATAGTGGTGGCTGCATAATGTTATGCGTATGCTTGTAATCATTAAGGACTGGGGAGTTTTTCAGGATAAAAAAGAAACGGAATGGAGCTAAGCACAGGCAAAATCCTAGAGGAAAATCTGGTTCAGTCTGCTTTCCACCTATCAGGAGGACAATAACCTAAAACACAAGGCCAAATCTACACTGTAGTTACTTGACAAGAAAAAACCAAATGTTTCTGAGTGGCCGAGTTACGGTTTTGACTTAAATCTACTTGAAAATATATGGCAAGACCTGAAAATGGTTGTCTTGCAATGATCAACAACCAATTTGACAAAGCTTGAAGAATTTTGAAAAGAATTAGAAAATGTTGCACAATCCAGGTGTGGAAAGCTCTTAGAGACTTACCCAGATAGACTCACAGCTGTAATTGCTGCCAAAGGTGCTTCTACAAAGTATTGATTCAAGGGTGTGAATACTTATTGCAAATTACATATTTCATTTTCAATACATTTGCAAAAAATTCTAAAAACATGTTTTCACTTTGTCATTATGGGGTATTGTGTGTAGATGGGTAAGAAAACAAATCGATTGAATCCATTTTGAATTCAGGCTGTAACACAACAATATGTGGAATAAGTCAAGGAGTATGAATACTTTCTGAAGGCACTGTATATATTGTGCTACTATTTCAGATTTAGTTGTAAGTAAGCAGAAGATCTGAGTATATAAAACAAAATATTTTAAAGGTGTAGTCATAAAAAGCCTTAAAAATCATAGAAAAAACATTTAGAATATTCAAAATCATAAGCATGACATTCAGCAAACTTAAAAGGATACAGTAGTATTAATAAAGCATGTAAACGACTTACTGTGGGGAAAAAAATTATTTAGTCAGCCACCAATTGTGCAAGTTCTCCCACTTAAAAAGATGAGCGAGGCCTGTCATTTCCATCATAGGTACATGTCAACTATGACAGACAAAATGAGAGAAAAAAATCCAGAAAATCACATTGTAGGATTTTTAATGAATTTATTTGCAAATTATGGTGGAAAATAAGTATTTGGTCACCTACAAACAAGCAAGATTTCTGGCTCTCACAGACCTGTAACTTATTTTTTTAGAGGCTCCTCTGTCCTCCACTCGTTATCAGTATAAAAGACACCTGTCCACAACCTCAAACAGTCACACTCCAAACTCCACTATGGCCAAGACCAAAGAGCTGTCAAAGGACACCAGAAACAAAATTGTAGACCTGCACCAGGCTGGGAAGACTGAATCTGCAATAGGTAAGCAGCTTGGTTTGAAGAAATCAACTGTGGGAGCAATTATTAGGAAATGGAAGACATACAAGACCACTGATAATCTCCCTCGATCTGGGGCTCCACGCAAGATCTCACCCCGTGGGGTCAAAATGATCACAAGAACGGTGAGCAAAAATCCCAGTGAATGACCTGCAGAGAGCTGGGACCAAAGTAACAAAGCCTACCATCAGTAACACACTACGCCGCCAGGGACTCAAATCCTGCAGTGCCAGACGTGTGCCCCTGCTTAAGCCAGTACATGTCCAGGCCCGTCTGAAGTTTGCTATAGTGCATTTGGATGATCCAGAAGAGGATTGGGAGAATGTCATATGGTCAGATGAAACCAAAATATAACTTTTTGGTAAAAACTCAACTCGTCGTGTTTGGAGGACAAAGAATGCTGAGTTGCATCCAAAGAACACCATACCTACTGTGAAGCATGGGGGTGGAAACATCATGCTTTGGGGCTGTTTTTCTGCAAAGGGACCAGGACGACTGATCCGTGTAAAGGAAAGAATGAATGAGGCCATGTATCGTGAGATTTTGAGTGAAAACCTCCTTCCATCAGCAAGGGCATTGAAGATTAAACGTGGCTGGGTCTTTCAGCATGACAATGATCCCAAACACACCGCCCGGGCAACGAAGGAGTGGCTTCGTAAGAAGCATTTCAAGGTCCTGGAGTGGCCTAGCCAGTCTCCAGATCTCAACCCCATAGAAAATCTTTGGAGGGAGTTGAAAGTCCGTGTTGCCCAGCGACAGCCCCAAAACATCACTGCTCTAGAGGAGATCTGCATGGAGGAATGGGCCAAAATACCAGCAACAGTGTGTGAAAACCTTGTGAAGACTTACAGAAAACGTTTGACCTGTGTCATTGCCAACAAAGGGTATATAACAAAGTATTGAGAAACTTTTGTTATTGACCAAATACTTATTTTCCACCATAATTTGCAAATAAATTCATTAAAAATCCTACAATGTGATTTTCTGGATTTTTTTCTCATTTTGTCTGTCATAGTTGACATGTACCTATGATGAAAATTACAGGCCTCTCTCATATTTTTAAGTGGGAGAACTTGCACAATTGGTGGCTGACTAAATACTTTTTTCCCCCACTGTATGTATTTTGGCATCTTAGTAAAAACTTACCTTTGAAGTAAAGCAAGTGCTGGTTATGACATACAGTGTTTTACTGATGTAAGCTCTTTGAACAGCACCATGCATGAGTGAGTAGTACTGAGTAGTACTCAGTGAAAAACAAATAACTGGCAGGTCTCCACTGTGAACATATGCTATGTAAAATCAGTACAAAATGTCCAGTATTTTAAAACTGCACAGCAAACTCTCCACATTAATTTACCAACACAAAAAAGGGCTACAAAAGTAGCCAAAATGAGTAGCCAAAATAAAGTGTATATTGTACTTCAATCTGAAGTCCAGAGCACTTTAACAATGTTGAAGGATATCTATGCACCATACTGGGGTTTATCATCCATTGAAATTTACAGATTTAAAAATATACATTTAAGATGACATTAGGACAATGAAACTCCCAAAGACCAATCAAATATTTGTAAATCTTGTAAACATTTTCATATATACAGTATAACAATGAAGTATACTATTTATATAAAACATTCCAGTGACTTTTTGTATAGATCGCCAAGGTAGGTTTTCAGATGCCCTGGATGATTAGGTAATGCCCACTTATATTTGGTGAAAACAAAAAAACTAACTTCCAGTTAAAGAATATGGATAATTTAGAACAGTAGCACATGCCAAATGTCAAAATGTCCAATATTGAGATGTCTTTACATGTCTTTGCATTGATTTTACAGTACATTTGTTGATGTATTTGGATATGGCTGAGAACGGGTTCTTCTTCATTCTGTCTCTCAGCTCGATTGGACGTTTTTGCATTCAATTGTTTAAAGTATTACGTCACATTGGCATTTGGGAGAAGAAAATGTATATTTCCCAACCCTGACTATGTTGACATCATGAAAATTAAACAAAAATGTCTACTCATTCATAAAGATATCTATATAAATTCTTATATAAAACTTTCTCTAGTTTTAGAAAATCAGTGTGGCATAAAAATATGTCTGACTGTGATCACAACAAATCCACTCAAAGACAACATGAGGGGAAGTCATTTGTTAAAAAAGTTAAAGCAGTGTATAAAACCTTAAAACCCTAAAATAACGCTTTGGCATTTGCCTACCAGGGGATAACAAGATTGTCTAACTTGGCATTGGCACTTCCCATTGACAATCAGTGGTACTTTCCATGTCACTCTCAGACCAGCCTTTTGTTAAAAAGAAGGCTATAAAAGTAAGACCCTCAAATGGTCCCCCTATGGCAGTGCTGGTTTCGCTCAGTGAAAGCAGGTTTGGCTCCTTAGATTTTTTTGTGTAGGGTATTTTTAGTGTGTTGGATGAAAACACCCTGCCTGAACGGAGAGTGGTGAGAGCGGAGTCACCATGTGTACCTGATCTCCTCAGCCTCATGATTGGAGGAGGCCAAAGGGTGCAGATCCAGATCCTCCTCATCTGGTGTAGTGGTAGAGGGAGGAGTGGAACTACAGAGAGGTTGGTCAGGGAGGGCACTATTCACATGCAAAGTAGTCCTTCAGAGGGGCAAACAGGTGTCTGATGACAGGCACGCTCCAGGACCTGCCCAGAAGCTTCTGCCTGGCACCGCGGCCCATGTTGGACACATCTGTGTAGTGGACCGGGAAGCCAAAGATCCTGGAGGGAACAGAGGATTAGAACAGTGGTGTCAAAATGGCATCAGAGGGCATTGTCAGCAAAGTTGGGTCTTATTCATTAGTGCACACCGTAGCAAAACATTTTGCAACAGAAAACGAGCGTTTCTTATTGAATAATGTCCAGTACCTCTTTGTTTCAGTCCTTCCCCGTTTGAGCAGAGGCACCACAGAGTTAGAAAAGGTAGAGGGCGCACAGAAGTGATCAATGGCAAAGATAGGAGGTGCTCCCTCTAACGTTTGAGCGGCACAGTCAGACTAGAATTGTGGGTCTGGGTCTCACTCAACGTATATAAACCCTGGATTGCTGATGCTATGTATTGGCCATTGAGAGGCTTTGAAGCTACCGGTCAGCCATATTGGCAGACCCTAGTAGGAGCAGTCCTCCATAGGAATAAATTGAATTCTACAGTATTTGAATTAAATGTTCCAAGGACAAAATGATGTGTATTTAAGTATTTAGTTTGTTGTAGTGGGGACAGTAATATTAGTACTCTCTAAAACAAACACTAATGTTTTCTTTATTTTTTTATCATTTTTTATTTGTATGTTTAGCTCACATAATATAATTTAAAAGTATGCATTAAGGTTTCTGTAATAGAATAAATGTGTAAAAAACGAATGTAGACATTAATAAAAGTTATAATGTTTTTTATTTGAATTTTTGTTACAATTGAGGAGTACCAAGATGGCTGCGCGGTGGCTTCAATACAGCGCCCCCTGTCAGTCATCCAGGGTTTATACACATAATTGGTCTCACCTCTCCAGCTCGGTGCACCACAGGATGTCCTCTTTGCCGTTCATCATGACTGGGAAGTGCTGGTCTTTGCCCTGCTTGATGGAGTTGGCGCGCGTGGTGATGGTGCGCACCTTTCCAAACTATAGGACAGAGAAAATACACACTCATATTAATACACTATACAGATGCGATCAAAATATTGGCCCTCTTGCACAATTCACTATTTCTTCAAAAATAAGTGGAAATTGCCAAGGCAGCAGCAACTCTTCCAAAATTAAGTCAGTTATACAATTTCACATTAAGTGTGTGCCCTCAGGCCACTACACTCTACCACATACAGTGGGGAGAACAAGTATTTGATACACTGCCGATTATGCAGGTTTTCCTACTTAAAGCATGTAGAGGTCTGTAATTTTTATCATAGGTACACTTCAACTGTGAGAGACGGAATCTAAAACAAAAATCCAGACAATCACATTGTATGATTTTTAAGTAATTAATTTGCATTTTATTGCATGACATAAGTATTTGATCACCTACCAACCAGTAAGTATTCCGGCTCTCACAGACCTGTTAGTTTTTCTTTAAGAAGCCCTCCTGTTCTCTACTCATTACCTGTATTAACTGCACCTGTTTGAACTCGTTACCTGTATAAAATACACCTGTCCACACACTCAATCAAACAGACTCCAACCTCTCCACAATGGCCAAGACCAGAGAGCTGTGTAAGGACATCAGGGATACAATTGTAGACCTGCACAAGGCTGGGATGGGCTACAGGACAATAGGCAAGCAGCTTGGTGAGAAGGCAACAACTGTTGGCGCAATTATTAGAAAATGGAAGAAGTTCAAGATGACGGTCAATCACCCTCGGTTTGGGGCTCCATGCAAGATCTCACCTCGTGGGGCATCAATGATCATGAGGAAGGTGAGGGATCAGCCCAGAACTACACGGCAGGACCTGGTCAATGACCTGAAGAGAGCTGGGACCACAGTCTCAAAGAAAACCATTAGTAACACACTACACCGTCATGGATTAAAATCCTGCAGCGCACGCAAGGTCCCCCTGCTCAAGCCAGCACATGTCCAGGCCCGTCTGAAGTTTGCCAATGACCATCTGGATGATCCAGAGGAGGAATGGGAGAAGGTCATGTGGTCTGATGAGACAAAAATAGAGCTTTTGGTCTAAACTCCACTCGCCGTGTTTGGAGGAAGAAGAAGGATGAGTACAACCCCAATAACACCATCCCAACCGTGAAGCATGGAGGTGGAAACATCATTCTTTGGGGATGCTTTTCTGCAAAGGGGACAGGACGACTGCACTGTATTGAGGGGAAGATGGATGGGGCCATGTATCGCGAGATCTTGGCCAACATCCTCCTTCCCTCAGTAAGAGCATTGAAGATGGGTCGTGGCTGGGTCTTCCAGCATGACAACGACCCGAAACACACAGCCAGGGCAACTAAGGAGTGGCTCCGTAAGAAGCATCTCAAGGTCCTGGAGTGGCCTAGCCAGTCTCCAGACCTGAACCCAATAGAAAATCTTTGGAGGGAGCTGAAAGTCTGTATTGCCCAGCGACAGCCCCGAAACCTGAAGGATCTGGAGAAGGTCTGTATGGAGGAGTGGGCCAAAATCCCTGCTGCAGTGTGTGCAAACCTGGTCAAGACCTACAGGAAATGTATGATCTCTGTAATTGCAAAGAAAGGTTTCTGTACCAAATATTAAGTTCTGCTTTTCTGATGTATCAAATACTAATGTCATGCAATAAAATGCAAATTAATTACTTAAAAATCATACAATGTGATTGTCTGGATTTTTGTTTTAGATTCCGTCTCTCACAGTTGAAGTGTACCTATGATAAAAATTACAGACCTCTACATGCTTTGTAAGTAGGAAAACCTGCAAAATCGGCAGTGTATCAAATACTTGTTCAATACTTGTGTGTATGTGTGTGTCTGTGCCTGTGTTTGTGTCTCTTCACAGTCCCCGCTATTCCATAAGGTGTATTTTTATCTGTTTTTTAAATCAAATGTTATTGCTTGCATGAGTTACTTGATGTGGAATAGAGCTCCATGTAGTCTGTGCGCCTCCCATAGTCTGTTCTGGACTTGGGGACTTTGACCTTTACATTTTAGTCACTTAGCAGACACTCTTATCCAAAGCGACTTACAGTGCATTCATATTAAGATAGCTAGGTGAGACAACCACATATCACAGTCATAGTAAGTACATTTTTTCCTCTTATTTAAGATACTCTTGACCGGAACTGTATATAATGAGAGAGACACAGAGGGACTGAGTGTGGTTTCATTCATATCTGTACTGTATTTGGATATACAATATATATACAAAAGTATGTGGACACTTTTTCAAATTTTACATTTACATTTACGTCATTTAGCAGACGCTCTTATCCAGAGCGACTTACAGTTAGTGAGTGCATAATGAGTGGATTTGGCTATTTCAGCCACACCCTTTGCTGACAGGTGTATAAAATTGAGCACACAGCCATGCAATCTCCATAGACAAACATTGGCAGTAGAATGGCCTTACTGAAGAGCTCAGTGACTTTCAACATAGCACCGTCATAGGATGCCACTTTTCCAACAAGTCAGTTTGTCAAATTTCTGCCCTAATAGAGCTGCCCCGTTCAACTGTAAGTGCTGTTATTGTGAAGTGGAAACATCTAGGAGCAACAACGGCTCAGCCGCGAAGTCACACAAGCTCACAGAACGGGAGTGCCAAGTACTGAAGCGTGTAGCGCATAAAAATCGTCTGTCCTCGGTTGCGACAATCACTACCGAGTCCCAAACTGCCTCTGGAAGCAACATCAGCACAATAACTGTTTGTCGGGAGCTTCATGAAAAGGGTTTCCACGGCAGAGCAGCCGCACACAAGCCAAAGATCACCATGAGCAATGCCAAGCGTCGGCTGAAGTGGTGTAAAACTCGCCGCTATTGGACTCTGGAGCAGTGGAAACGCGTTCTCTGGAGTGATGAATCACGCTTCCCCATCTGGCAGTCCGACGGACGAATCTGGGTTTGCCGGATGACAGGAGAACTTAACTGCCCCAATGCATAGTGCCAACTGTAAAGTTTGGTGGAGGAGGAATAATGGTCTGGGGCTGTTTTTCATGGTTCGGCTTGGCCCCTTAGTTCCAGTGAAGGGAAATCTTAACCTTTCCCTTCACTGGAACCTTAACCAATGACATTGTAGACGTTTCTGTGCTTCCAACTTTGTGGCAACAGTTTGGGGAAGGCCCTTTCCTGTTTCAGCATGACAATGCTCCCATGCACAAAGCGAGGTTCATACAGGAATGGTTTGTTGAGATCGGTGTGGAAGAACTTGACTGGCCTGCACAGAGCCCTGACCTCAATCAACTCCATCGAACACCTTTGGGATGAATTGGAATGCCGACAGCGAGCCAGGCCTAATCGCCCAACATCATTGCCCAACCTCACTAATGCTCTTGTGGCTGTATGGAAGCAAGTCCCTGCAGCAATGTTCCAACATCTAGTGGAAAGCCTTCCCAGAAGAGTGGAGGCTGTTCTGGCAGCAAAGGGGGGACCAACTGCATATTAATGCCCATGATTTTGGAATGAGATGTTCGACGAGCAGGTGTCCACATACTTCTGGTCATGTAGTGTATATTTTCTGTGGCATATTGTTTTTTCTGTGGCATATTGTGAAATATACACTCAGTGGCCCATTCACAAAAATGGTTCGGTCCTACAGACAGTGAGTCATGTGGCCGTGGCTTGCTATATAAAACAGGCAGACAGGCATCGAGGCATTCAGTTACTGTTCGATTGAACGTTAGATGGGCAAAACGAGTAACCTAAGCGACTTTGAGCCTGGTATGATCGTCTGTGCCAGGCGCGCCGGATCTAGTATCTCAGAAACGTCCGGCCTCCTGGGCTTTTCACATACTACAGTGTCTAGGGTTTACCGAGAATGGTGCTACAAACAAACAAAAATCCAGTCAGCAGCAGTCCTGTGGGCGAAAACAGCTCATTGATGAGAGGTCGAAGGAGAATGGCAAGAATCGTGCAAGCTAACTGGCGGGCCACAAACAGGAAAATAACGGCGCAGTACAACAGAGGTGTGCAGAACGATATCTCAGAACGCACAACTCGTTGGTCCATTTCACGGATGGGCTATTGCAGCAGACGACCACACCGGGTTCCACTCCTATCAGCTAAAAACAAGAAGCGGCTCCAGTGGGCACGCGATCACCAACACTGGACAATTGAGGAGGTGAAAAACACTGCCTGATCTGACGAATCCCGGTTCCTGTTGCGTCATGCTGATGGCAGAGTCAGGATTTGGCGTAAGCATGGGTCCATGGCCCCATCCTGCCTGGTGTCAACTGTACAGGCTGGTGGCGGTGGTGTAATGGTGTGGGGAATGTTTTCCTGGCACACGTTGGGTCCCTTGATACCAATTGAGCAACGTTTCCATGCCCCGAATAATTCAAGCTGTTCTGGATGCAAAGGGGGGTCCGACCCGGTACTAGAACCGGGATTCTGTAGCTCAATTGGTAGAGCATGGCGCTTGTAACGCCAGGGTAGTGGGTTCGATCCCCGGGACCACCCATACGTAAAAATGTATGCGCACATGACTAAGTCGCTTTGGATAAAAGCGTCTGCTAAATGGCATATTATATATTATAGATGGGTGTACCTTATAAACTGGCCACTGAGTGTATATTGTAATATATTGAAATAAAACCACTTATTGATTTTTGTCCAGTTCCACTGAGTGAAGGAAAGGTAGATAGTGTTACCTTTGCCACACGGCCATGTTCCAGACAGTCCTGCAGCTCTAGCTTGTCCATCCCAGATGCACACCGAGGCCTGGCACATGAACAATGGGAATTTTATATGGAATACTCCAAGAGATATCCGTAAATGACTATTTATTTTACGGTACTGTTTCCACTAGATTTCAATTGGTATCAATTTGTACTTTCTGGCATTTACTTTAATTCAACACAATTGGCAACTACCAAAGTAAAAGTAATTCATAGGTTATAACTGTGTAATTACAAACCATGCAATTATGTCATTTTTGTATTGTAAATTAAAAACTGGAATATGAAAGATTGTGTTAGTATAGGAAAACAAGTACACTGTGGGAATCACACACCTGTTCATCCCTGGTAGGTTGCCCCAGAAGTACCTAGCCCTGTGAGCCGCAGACACCTCAATGGCATCGATCATCACTGGATTGCACTGTCGGACACACACACACACACACACACACACACACACACACAGACACACACACACAGGTAAGTGTTTCATTTAATATACCACTGCTATCATGGGTTACACATTTTCTCTCTTTGTGTTGTGTTGTGTTGTGAGTCCACAACGATATATAAAGACTACAACAACGTCTGAAACGCTCTAATGAGGTAATGCCAAAGACCTCTGAGATTGTCACTTGTATTGTATTGATATTGTGGATATAACAAACCTCGAGGAAACGGGAGATGTCCCTCTTGTCGTTGACGCCCATGGCGACCACGTTCTCGAACATCCAGAAGAATGGGCGGTCCTCGCCCTCCTTGGGCTTGGCCTCACTCAGCAGGCGGTAGAACTCAAAGAACAACCTCCCTGTGCCCTCTGGACAGACAGACAGACGGGGGATGAGGAGTACATATTAGGATATTTTTACTACAGTCCAATGTTGACTGAATACTAATATATCAATTGCAAATTTATCTTTGATTGTTATACCTTGTTTTCCCTATACGTTTAGAGCTACAAGTTTATACTGTACATATAAGGTATATAAATTATATTTTATAAGAACTACTTCCCTCCCATTTCAGCCTGTAACACTTGGCATGGATTTTATAGAGTGTAATTGGAGTGAAGTGAAGCATGCTTAGTAATGCATTTATTGAAGTTTGATTAAGATTCATTGATGATTTTTTATGAAGTTTCTTACCGTACAGTCCCTTCCTGGCGGGGTTGACAATAGACAGGTCATTACAGGGGCTTCCTCCTATCACCAGGTCAAATGGGCCCCACTCCTCTATCTGTGTGAGACAACAGCACCACCTAATGTCAGACTGAGTGTAACACAAGTCAATGCCCCAACATTTGTACCCATCTGTTCTCATTCCCAATCCCAATCCCCTCTACTCTAACCCTACATAGTGTCACCTCCCCCTGACACCCCCTCCATATTGCCCACCAACCCCAACACAGGGTAGTATATAACCCCCACTGGATTTTCCAATTACATTGAATGAACTACAGGACAAAATACAAACCCTTCAACCCAAAAAGGCCTGTGGTGTTGATGGTATTCTAAATGAAATGATAAAATATACAGAACACAAATTCCAATTGGCTATACTTCAACTTTTTAACATCATCCTCAGCTCTGGCATCTTCCCCAATATTTGGAACCAAGGACTGAACACCCCCATCCACAAAAGTGGAGACAAATTTGACCCCAATAACTACCGTGGGATATGCATCAACAGCAACCTTGGGAAAATCCTCTGCATTATCATTAACAGCAGACTCTTACATTTCCTCAGCGAAAACAATGTACTGAGCAAATGTCAAATTGGCTTTTTCCAAATTAACGTACGACAGACCACGTATTCACCCTGCACACCCTTATTAACAAAAAAGCTTTTGACTCAATTTGGCGCGAGGGTCTGCTATACGAATTGATGGAAAGCGGTGTTGGGGGAAAAACATACAACATTATAAAATCCATGTACACAAACAACAAGTGTGCGGTTAATATTGGCAAAAAACACACACATTTCTTTCCACAGGGCCGTGGGGTGAGATATGGAGGCAGCTTGAGCCCCACCCTCTTCAACATATATATCAACAAATTGGCTAAGGGCACTAGAACAGTCTGCAGCACCCAGCCTCACCCAACTAGAATCTGAAGTCAAATGTCTACTGTTTTCTGATGATCTGGTGCTTCTGTCCCCAACCAAGGAGCGCCTAAAGCAGCACAGATCTTCTCCACAGATTCTGTCAGACCTGAGCCCTGACATTATCTCAGTAAGACAAAAATAATGGTGTTCCAAAAAAGGTCCAGTTGCCAGGACCACAAATACAAATTCCATCTAGACACCGTTGCCCTAGAGCACACAAAAAACTACACCTACCTCGGCCTAAACATCTGCACCACAGGTAACTTCCACAAAGCTGTGAACAATCTGAGAGACAAGTCAAGAAGGGCCTTCTACACCATCAAATGGAACATAAAATTCGACATCCCAACTAGGATCTGGCTAAAAATACTTGAATCAGTTATAGAACCGATTGCCCTTTATGGTTGTGTGGTCTGGGGTCCACTCACCAACCAAGAATTCACATAATGGGACAAACACCAAATTGAGACTCTGCATGCAGAATTCTGCAAAAACATCCTCCGTGTACAATGTAAAACACCAAATAATGAATGCATGCAGAGCAGAATTAGGATGATACCCGCAAATGATCAAAATCCAGAAAAGAGCCGTTAAATTCTACAACCACCTAAAAGGAAGCGATTCCCAAACCTTCCACAACAAAGCCATCACCTACAAAGAGATTAACCTAGCTGGTCCTGGGGGTCTGTTCACAAACACAAACAGTCCCGACAGAGCCACAGGACAGGAACACAATTGAGAAAACAAATGAGAAAACAAAAATATAATTACTAGACACATTGGAAAGAATTAACCAAAAAACTGAGGAAACTGGAGTACACAGTGGCAGAATACCTGACCACTGTGACTGACCCAAAATAAAGGAAAGCTTTGACTATGTACATACTCAGTGAGCATAGCCTTGCTATTGAGAGAGGCTGCCATAGGCAGACCTGGCTCTCAAGAGAAGACAGGCTATGTGCACACTGCCCACAAAATGAGGTGGAAACTGAGCTACAGTTCCTAACCTCCTACCAAATGTATGACCATATTAGAGACACATATTTCCCTCAGATTACACAGACCCACAAATAATTTGAAAACAAATCAAATTTGGATAAACTCCCATATACAGTGGGGAAAAAAAGTATTTAGTCAGCCACCAATTGTGCAAGTTCTCCCACTTAAAAAGATGAGAGAGGCCTGTAATTTTCATCATAGGTACACGTCAACTATGACAGACAAAATGAGAAAAAAAATCCAGAAAATCACATTGTAGGATTTTTAATGAATTTATTTGCAAATAATATTTGGTCAATAACAAAAGTTTCTCAATACTTTGTTATATACCCTTTGTTGGCAATGACACAGGTCAAACGTTTTCTGTAAGTCTTCACAAGGTTTTCACACACTGTTGCTGGTATTTTGGCCCATTCCTCCATGCAGATCTCCTCTAGAGCAGTGATGTTTTGGGGCTGTCGCTGGGCAACACAGACTTTCAACTCCCTCCAAAGATTTTCTATGGGGTTGAGATCTGGAGACTGGCTAGGCCACTCCAGGACCTTGAAATGCTTCTTACGAAGCCAATCCTTCGTTGCCCGGGCGGTGTGTTTGGGATCATTGTCATGCTGAAAGACCCAGCCACGTTTCATCTTCAATGCCCTTGCTGATGGAAGGAGGTTTTCACTCAAAATCTCACGATACATGGCCCCATTCATTCTTTCCTTTACACGGATCAGTCGTCCTGGTCCCTTTGCAGAAAAACAGCCCCAAAGCATGATGTTTCCACCCCCATGCGTCACAGTAGGTATGGTGTTCTTTGGATGCAACTCAGCATTCTTTGTCCTCCAAACACAACGAGTTGAGTTTTTACCAAAAAGTTATATTTTGGTTTCATCTGACCATATGACATTCTCCCAATCCTCTTCTGGATCATCCAAATGCACTCTAGCAAACTTCAGACGGGCCTGGACATGTACTGGCTTAAGCAGGGGGACACGTCTGGCACTGCAGGATTTGAGTCCCTGGCGGCTTAGTGTGTTACTGATGGTAGGCTTTGTTACTTTGGTCCCAGCTCTCTGCAGGTCATTCACTAGGTCCCCCCGTGTGGTTCTGGGATTTTTGCTCACCGTTCTTGTGATCATTTTGACTCCATGGGGTGAGATCTTGCGTGGAGCCCCAGATCGAGGGAGATTATCAGTGGTCTTGTATGTCTTCCATTTCCTAATAATTGCTCCCACAGTTGATTTCTTCAAACCAAGCTGCTTACCTATTGCAGATTCAGTCTTCCCAGCCTGGTGCAGGTCTACAATTTTGTTTCTGGTGTCCTTTGACAGCTCTTTGGTCTTGGCCATAGTGGAGTTTGGAGTGTGACTGTTTGAGGTTGTGGACAGGCGTCTTTTATACTGATAACAAGTTCAAACAGGTGCCATTAATACAGGTAACGAGTGGAGGACAGAGGAGCCTCTTAAAGAAGAAGTTACAGGTCTGTGAGAGCCAGAAATCTTGCTTGTTTGTAGGTGACCAAATACTTATTTTCCACCATAATTTGCAAATAAATTAATTAAAAACCCTACAATGTGATTTTCTGGAAAAGAAATCTCAATTTGTCTGTCATAGTTGACGTGTACCTATGATGAAAATTACAGGCCTCTCTCATCTTTTTAAGTGGGAGAACTTGCACAATTGGTGGCTGACTAAATACTTTTTTCCCCCACTGTATATTAAGTGAAATACCACAGTGTGCGATCACAGCAGCAAGATTCGTGACCTGTTGCCACAAGAAAAGGGCAACCAGTGAAGAACAAACACCCATTATAAATACAACCCATATTTATGTTGATTTATTTTCCCTTTTGTTATAACACTGTACATAGCCATAATATGACATTTGAAATGTCTCTATTCCTTTGTCACTTTTGTTTATTATCTATTCCACTTGCTTTGGCAATGTAAACATGTTTCCCATGCCAATAAAGCCTGTTGAATTTAATTTAATTGAGAGAGAGCGAGAGAGAGAGAGCGAGAGAGAGAGAAGAGTGCTCTTTTTTTCTCAACACTTTTTTAGTTGTTGTTTTATTCTTACTTTTTTTGTTGAAAATAAATGCACTGTTGGTTAAGGGCTGTAAGTAAGCATTTCACTGTAATGTCTGCACCTGTTGTATTCGGCGCATGTGACCAATAAAATTTGATTTGATTTGATTTGATTTACTGTGCTTCTGAGCCTCTTACGCAACAGCGAGGGGGAGTGGCCGTCGATTTCCTACTGCCTAAGGGTTATGTGAGAGGGGGTGTAGGTTCCCAAAACAGCCAGGCCGACCCTCTTCGGGCCCAGCCCCTCTTTGAGGAGTGCTATGAGTCGCTGACAAAGGGATGAATGGGTTCTGGGGGATTTACTCTGACAAGAGGCTGTGCTTTGTCGTCTAACCAGATGACGTCAAGGACTCGCATGCGACACGGCAGCGTGCCCCTCTCTGCTGTGGTGGAGCTATGTGTTTAGGTTCGACTTGGGAGTAGAGGGGGAAGTTGTGTTTTGTTATGAACAGGGATAAATCTGGGTGGTTGTGTGTTGGTGTATTGTGTGTGTGTGTGTGTTTGTATGTGTGTGTATTGTGTTGAAGCACTCAAAAGAGCCCTCATGAGCCATGCGTCTGTATATGTTTCATTGTGGATCCACATAAAGTAGGGCAGGGGAGCATTCACTAAAACTATAACAGGTGAGGCTCATTAGGCTACAATAAGGTACTACTGTCCTGTCTGGACAGGCAATGGCCCACAGAACAAGCAGTAAACGGGTGTGTCATGTATGTGCAAATGTTTGCATTTCCAAAGACACTGAGGAGTACTCCATGAGACACAAAGGCACTAGCCCTTGGTTCTTGGCAACTTTCTTCCATATGATAAATAATATTGATAAAGTTGATAGAATAATTATTAATGACTAATTATTACACCCTGAAACTGTGTGAAATGTGTTAGAATGTGTGAGTGTAGGACCAGTCAACTGAGAAACCAAGATAAAGAGGCCTCCCAATTTAGGGAGGAGAGAAACTGTCTTTTTAAGGAGTATGAAATATGGTGCAGGATATTGTGAGGACGGCGATAACTAAGAAATGCAGCCTATGATAAGAACATGTGTGTGTGAACTGATGGTCAGGAGAGCAGTTTTAAAGTGGAAAACTACAGCCCGCCTAAAGAGGGGAGGGAGTTTTGTATGACGTGTGAGTATAAAAGATGGACTCTGAAATTGTAATGGCAGAATTCTCAATGAATAAACCTCTGACTATGCAGACAAACGGACTCTGTCCGTTTCATTGATCCAAAAGACTTACAACCTTTTGGGAGACGCACAGAGACACTGAAATAGTTTGTTAAATAATTATCATAACAGTATACCAGTTCAGTTGATAATCCTAAATCATCATATGTTGAATTAGGAGGACTAGAAAGAAATGTTTCATACAGCACCTGCTTTACACAACAACAAAATGAGTCATTGAGAAAGGGATTGGATCTTTGCAATAGAGACAAACTTTGTACTCTACTATCCCCTCTCTCACTCCTCCCTCTAGTTGACTTGACTCAGATTGAGTTTGCTCTGCCCATCCATATGTCAGGAGTGTGAAGAGAGAGAGACAGGGAAAGAGAGAGATGTGTTCTGCTTACATTCTTCCTGGTGATGTTGCGCACATCGTGCACGTACTGGATTCTTCCTTCATGTCGGACGACACCCACTGATATGGAATCCTCACACACCTCTGACGCAATATAATGGTCCACTTTGAATCCTAGGTCTCGCAGCACTAAGTAGCCTAGACACACGCACACACAGAAATATATGTCCTGATATTTTTAGCGTGATCCAAATATTACACTTGAGTAATGCAATGACACCTACGTGCACACACACACACTTACCAGTGGCGATGCCATCAAACAATGAGAGCACGCGGATGGGGCGCCTCTGTTCTGCAGGGACAGCCCGGTAGGTCTTTGGGCTTTCCTGAGAAACATATAGACCAAATCACAATGTTTATAGAAACAATTACAGCTATGTAGTAATGTTGCTATGAGTGGGACCCTGAGGTTTTCCAGGCCCTGTGATCTGAGCAAGATGAATGACAGGCCCTAGATACTGTATGTTGTATAAGTTGGTTTGTCTTCAGTATTGTGACAAGGGTCAATGTGAGGAGTTAACTAAAATATCTTGATGGGACTCACAAACTCCTGGCCGTTGTCGTTGATGAAGAACTCCTGCAGCTTCATGCTCCAGTCGTGGCGTCGTTTGAGCACACCGTAGGGCTGCAGGGGCTGGCACATGTAGCAGCGCCACGGGTCCAGGTTACGGGCACTGTTCGACGCCCCCGCGCCCACCAGAATGTCCAGACATTCTACACAGAAACACCTGCAGGGGGAGGAAGGAGACAGACGGAGACGGGTAAAATAAGGTTGAGGGGGAATTAGGGGAGAGAGGGAGATGGATGAGTAGGGGAGGGGAGAGAGGGGAGATGGATGAGTGGGGGAGGGGAGAGAGGGAGAGAGGGGAGGGAGAGGGATGGATGAGTAGGGGAGGGGAGAGAGGGAGATGGATGAGTAGGGGAGGGGAGAGAGGGAGATGGATGAGTAGGGGAGGGGAGAGAGGGAGCTGGATGAGTAGGGGAGGGGAGAGAGGGAGCTGGATGAGTAGGGGAGGGAGAGGAGGGGATGGCGGGGGGGAGCAGGAGGTAGACTGGATGAGTGTCTGGGAGGGGGGGAGAGAGGGAGCTGGCTGAGTAGGGGAGGGGAGAGAGGGAGCTGGATGAGGTAGGGGAGGGGAGAGAGGGAGGCTGGATGAGTGGGGGAGGGGAGGAGGGAGAGATTGAGGGGAGGGTGAGTTGGTAGCGGAGATGGTAGGGAAGTAGGGAGGAGGAGAGATGGGGGGATGGGGGGATGGGGGAGAGAGAGAGGGAAAGCAGCGATAGGTGGCAGGTGGAACTAGTGGTAAAAAAAGGTGACACGAGAGAAAAAATATACTTCTAACCAACAGGTGCGAGAGAAAGTAGAAGCTGACTGAAAAGACAGAAGTTAAAAATGAACTAAAATACAGTAGATTACAGTTAAGACACAGAATATTACAGTTAAGATACAGTAGAGATACAGTCTGCGTTTTGATGGCACCCTATTCCCTATATAGTGCACTACTTAATAGTTGACTATAAAGGGAAACGGGTGCCATTTGGAACACACACACAGTAGAATACAAAGTTACAGTTGAAGAAGTGAGTGTTGAGTCCCACCTGCAGCAGTTGGCGTTCCCACACAGCAGCACTTCGCGGCCCCCGCAGCACACGGTACAGTACGATTGGTAGCCATCGTCATCATACATGTAGGAGATCTCAAGATACACGTCCTAACTCACACGTGTACGCACACACACACACACACACATAAAGATAAACAACACTCATTAACAACAATATCTAGATGCCAGTTTTCTACATATTGACAAAAAAGTCACATTTCTTGGCACCAGGATTAACCAGTTGGTGCATGTCCGGTGAGGCAGGAGATCAAAGAAGAATGTGAATGCAAACAGGACCGGCCAGCACATCAGGCAGGATTAGGCGGCCGCCTAGGGCGGCAGATTAACGAGGGCGGCATTTTCCGAGCTACACTGACCAAGACGCATCTCCAACAACACATAACAACTCACATAATTCTGCCCAAAAACAATGAAACCGTAAATACAGGTAACTGCCAAAATAAAGGAAACACCAACATAAAGTGTCTTAATAGGGCGTTGGGCCACCACGAGCCAGAATGGCTTCAATGCACCTTGGCATAGATTTTACAAGTGTCTTGAACTCTATCGGAGGGATGCGACACCATTCGTCCACGAGAAATTCCATTGTTTGGTGTTTTGTTGATGTTGGTGGATAATGCTGTCTCAGGCGCTGCTCCAGATTCAATTGGGTTGAGATCTGGTGACTGAGACACACACACACACACACACACACACACTAGGACTGCACGAATTGGAAGATTTCAATTTTTGGCCTAGATATTGCAATTGTTGCAATATTCAAACACTTGGGTAAAAACTTGGTCATTCCATCAGACATGGTTAAAACAAGTGTCAGAGTAGAGAACATTACTTCTAAAATGAGATCATATGAAAGAATACAAACTGAGCTAACTGAACGCAAAACCAAATTAAACAAATATTTTCCAACATTGTTTTATTGACCTTTTTAACATCAAAATAATGTTGTGAAAAGCTGTGCAAATTATGTAAAATAAATAACAACAATTATATTCAAGCTGTATCTTAAAGCATTTAATTTACAGGTTTAAAAAAACACATCAGCAATCAATGCCTGTTTAATGTTAGTGGCTGGCTGTGGCTGAGGGGTTTGCTGCTGTCGGGCGTTTTTTTTAAAACCACGAAATCGTTGTAAAATAGGGGATGGTTCTTCCACGAATGAATGAATAAATACATTTGTCATGTTGCCTCTTGTTGTAGTCACAACTAAGTCACTTTTTGCACAACACTTGCATTTGGTCGACATCGGTTTGCCCATAGCTGAAATACTGCCATACCATTGAAGATGCGCCCTTATTTGGCACCAAATCAACGTTCTCGTTAGCACTAGCAGCACTCATGTTTCCGACACTTACTCTGCACTCAGGTGAAGCCCTTTCTCTCCAGCATTTAACTGTAGGGTTGGGCGATGTATGGGGTAAATTGCCAGGAAGAACGCAATATACAGTACAGTGCAATTTTCCTCATCAATCTACACACGACACCCCATAATGACAAAGCGAAAACAGGTTTTTAGACATTTTTGCAAATGTAATAAAAATAAAAAACAGAAATACCTTATTTACATAAGTATTCAGACCCTTTGCTATGAGACTCGAAATTGAGCTCAGGTGCATCCTGTTTCCATTGATCATCCTTGAGATGTTTCTACAACTTGATTGGAGTCCACCTGTGGTAAATTCAATTGATTGGACATGATTTGGAAAGGTCCTACAGTTGACAGTGCATGTCAGAACAAAAACCAAGCCATGAGGTTAAAGGAATTGTCCGTAGAGCTCCGAGACAGGATTGTGTCGAGGCACAGATCTGGGGAAGGGTACCAAAACAAATCTGTAGCATTGAAGGTCCCCAAGAACACAGTGGCCTCCATCATTCTTAAATGGAAGAAGTTTGGAACCACCAAGACTCTTCCTAGAGCTGGCCGCCCGGCTAAACTGAGCAATCGGGGGAGAAGGGCCTTGGTCAGGGAGATGACCAAGAACCCGATGGTCACTCAGACAGAGCTCCAGAGTTCCTCTGTGGAGATAGGAGAACCTTCCAGAAAGACAACCATCTCTGCAGCACTCCACCAATCAGGCCTTTATGGTAGGGTGGCCAGACAGAAGCCACTCCTCAGTAAAAGGCACACGACAGCCCGCTTGGAGTTTGCCAAAAGGCACCTAAAGGACTCTCAGACCATGAGAAACAAGATTCTCTGGTCTGAGGAAACCAAGATTGAACTCTTTGGTCTGAATGCCAAGCTTCACGTCTGGAGGAAACCCAGGCACCATCCCTACGGTGAAGCATGGTGGTAAAAGCATCATGCTGTGGGGATGTTTTTCAATGGCAGGGACTGAGAGACTAGTCAGGATCGATGGAAAGATGAACAGAGCAAAGTACAGAGAGATCCTTGATGAAAACCTGCTCCTGAGCACTCAGGACCTCAGACTGGGGCGAAGGTTCACCTTCCAACAGGACAACGACCCTAAGCACACAGCCAAGACAACGCAAGAGTGGCTTCCGGACAAGTCTCTGAATGTCCATGAGTGGCCCAGCCAGAACCCGGACTTGAACCCAATCGAACATCTCTGGAGAGACCTGAAAATAGCTGTGCAGCGACGCTCCTCATCCAACCTGACAGAGTTTGAGAGGATCTGCAGAGAAGAATGGGAGAAACTCCCCAAATACAGGTGTGCCAAGCTTGTAGCGTCATACCCAAGGAGACTCGAGGCTGTAATCGCTGCCAAAGGTGCTTCAACAAAGTACTGAGTAAATGGTCTGAATCCTTATGTAAATGTCATATTTCCGTTAGTTTTTTTGTATAAATTTGCACACATTTCTAACAACGTGTTTTTGCTTTGTCATTATGGGGTATTGTGTGTAGTTTGACGAGGGAAAAAAACGATTTAATACATTTTAGAATAAGGCTGTAACGTAACAAAATGTGGAAAAAGTCAAGGGGTCTGAATACTTTCCAAATGCACTGTATAAAGCACACATTGGTAATACCAGAACTGTGATTTGGTGCATAATGTCATTCTCCTTATTTAAATTGTTACTAAAGCCACAAACAATCTCAGTAAAACATTTTTTATCTAGTCTAGGCTACAGAATGATTTCCAAATTGGTAGGGCTATGTTTCTCTCCTCCATAAAAATACTCAGATATCAGTTATATTAGCCTAGCTTTCAAAAACAAATATTATATCCTTATCAAGTGAAGTTATTTCATCTTAATCATCTGGGTAAGCACATTTGCGACATTCTTTCTTCTATTAGGCTACTTTCCGACAGTATCAGACTGTAAAAAAACAATAAGGAAGTGACGGGATTTACTGGGGGGGAGGGGCTGGTCCAACTCAACATACAAATATTTTAACTGTAGCGACCCTTTGTTTATAAACGTGGATACCGACATTGCCACTTCAGCATGCTTTTGTGGCACAGTGGATGCCACACAGGGCTACGGGCCAGAAGGTTGAGGGTTAGCCGACCACCACAAACGAGCTCACTCTCCCTGCCTGTTTCATTACACTACAATCAAAGCCGGCTGAAGACAATGACCAGCTAGGGGGAAATCAGATTTTCAAAATTGTTATGCCTAATTTATAATTATATAAAATATATGCAACGAATTGTCCACCAACAGGTTTCTGTGCTAATGCACCACACAACCAATAAACAAAGCATACTCAGGCACTTCAATATCATGGTTTGCGCTTTTAACACGACAATAAATCGACTATGTCAATCTCGACAAACAGAAAATATATCCCTCCCTACCTTGTAGGCTTACCCAGTATCGGAGGCTTGGCAATCTCCGAATGTCATTAAACTTTTTGGTGTTTTGTAACAGAAGTCTCTTTCCATTCATCAATTGGCCACTGCACAGTTTGGATTGATTGATTGATTTTATTTGTCAGTAAAAAAAAGACATTTATACAAAATTATATTTAAAAGTGACTGGGATGGCACAATAAAGTCGGGGACTTATTTCCATTGTGGTCCTTATTTTTTTTCCCATAAATACATTTACAAATACATAGAAACAGACACATTACAAAGATAGAGACTAAACATGGGATGTAGCTCAGTTGGTAGAGCATGGCGTTTGCAACGCCAGGGTTGTTGGTTCGATTACCACGTGGGGCTAGTATGATTTTTTTTTTTTATAATAATGTATGCACTCACTACCTGTAAGTCGCTCTGGATAAGAGCGTCTGCTAAATGACGTAAATGTAAATGTAAAATGTAAAAAATGCTCAACCTCCAGATGAGTATGACTACAATTCTTACAAGCTTGTTTGGCTGGTAGCTTATTCTTTAGATGTTGTGGATACTGGTCGGGTGAGGTTGTGTTTCTCTAGCGGGATGTAAGCTTGGCTTCTTATATGGTGTCAAGTAATGCTTGCCTTAAACCATGTATTTAGATTGTAGGTAGGTATTGTAGTTAGCTATTGTAGGTAGTTTATCTAGGTAGTTATTGTAGGTTATTGTAGGCAATTATTGTAGGTAAGTATTGTATTCGGCTGAGCCTGGTGAAGCACGAGGCTAGCTAACCCACTACCTGGACCAATAAAGCTAGCTAGCTAGCGGGTAGCTACTAGTAACTATTAGCAACTGTGGATAGTTGTTTTCAATGTTATTTCACGCTTAAGAGTACCTGTAATTATGCCAGCTAGCTACCTACCATTCAGCTGTTTTTCTAACCTCATTATCTGAAGCGTTAACGTTAGGTAGTTAGTAGCTACTGTACTCGAAATGTAGCTAGCTTGTTGCTACCTGGATAGCTAACTAAACAATACCTGGAACGACCTAGCTGTAATATTTGGAGACGCTTTCTCTATAAGTTAATTGAAGAACCCTTCAAAAAGGGTTCAAAGAATCCCCTTTAATGGTTCCTCTAAGAAACTTTTGGGGTTCATTTTTTTACTCTCTCCCATTATTATTATTAATAATAATAATTAATCATAATCAGCATAACGATAACAACAATAACACAATATTTTAGTTATCAGTGTTTATTATGATTATGAAATTTAAAGCAGAATTCAAAATTCCAAATATTAGGTAAACTCCCAGCAG